GACGAGTTGTAATATAGTGCTACGAATGGTGAAACTCACTGACGATGCCGACTACGATGCCGGCGAAACGACTGGGAATGTACCACGTCTACGGTCCGACTCTGGAAATAATTATGCATACAATGGACTCAGGATAAGGTGCGTTTCAAACAGTCTTCCTACCATTATGACCAAGTTGCGAAAACAAGGTCAAACAACTTCTATAAAAGATTAAATTTGACCTTAATAGTTCCCACTAGTAAAGACTTTACTGTCTGCTGCCTAGGACCGCATTAAAATAAAGAGAAAATGAAATGAAACTTGCCTTTTCATAAGCCTCTGATTCAACAGAATAGATTAAAAGGCACTTCTCCACAAACTGATCCAGATAGCGCATGCGAATAGAGGTAGGGATCTTTGAGCTTGGACGCAAAGGCGCCTTGGGACGTACCGAAACACTCGAGCAGGAAGGATGATTCTGATGAGAAGATAAGGAATGCCCAGAGCTGTTACATTTGTCGCCCTCAGCAACTGCATGCGAATCTCTACCATCACAAATGAAAATGCCATCTGATGGATTCGTCTCAGTGACAATGGTGATGCTTTTAGAAGTGCCTGAAGGCTGGTCGTAAAGTAAAAACTTGATGTGAGTTACTTAAAAATGTAACTGCTGATAACATAAGCCAGGGCCACTTGAGCTGACTTTAAAAATACTGATAAGCGGAATCAATGGCACCAAACAAGGAGCTATTAGTATAAACGAAGGTAATATCCATGATCCCCCAAAATAAATCTATTTCCCTAATGCAATTTCGAATAGAAAGAAGGCCCTCTAAATGAGGCATTAAATTCTAACCAGACCTGTCTGCTAATCGCATCAAAATATGAATACGGACACTTCTGGAAAAGAAGACTAACAAACATCCTAAAAGATATTCTGCAAAAAAATTAGAAAAGGAAGACTGGTCATTAAAATAACTCTCTAATACCTCAGTTAGTAGCATAAAATAGTTAGGCCAATACTCTTTACTCATACTTAAAGCGATATTACTGATAATTGATAGTACTCTGTTTTCAGCTTAGAAAAGTCTAATTTGACTCGATGAAGGTATTCGCTGTGGTCATAACATATTCTTCCTTTTATTGACAGTTTTATCTAATTTAAAGTATACGCTGTCTGAATGTCATGGGCTGAAAGTGAACCATTGAAAATAAAAATTCAATTTACACTTTGGGAGTGTTTCTAATTTATCAGTAATTCTTTAGTCTATATATTTGATGGGCCAGTCTAAAAACATGAGGCCTTGACATAAATATGAGCTGTAGTCAACCTAGGTCGTATGTGATGTAGGAATGATAGTTCGTTTTCCAACATTGCTTAGATGCCAATGAATTTCACTTAACTTTGACTTCCAAAAGATCATTTTCACCCAGGATGGACTGTCATTTCGACCTCGCATAAGCCTCACCAGTGCCTATACCGGAGTCGAAACCGCTAGTGTAACGCATATTTTCATCATGTTAACACTATGCCACAATACCAAGGGTTCAAATTGGTAATAGAATAGGCGCGAGTTGTAAGGCAAGCAAAACCTTTCTCATATCACATTTATAATCGGAATGTAGATTAGACAAAGTTTTATTTTGCCATTACAATCGACTGCTACCTATATTCATAAAGTCGGTTTTGAGATTGTCAGATCTTGAATAAACACTGTAGTGGCTCTAGGTAGTACAAAGTGGCAAAGAGATAATAGTTGAATTTTCTCATAATTATACGAGTATACCATAGGAAATTCAATTGCTTAGTGATGCCTACTTGTATCAAGGAGGTAACATACTATTTAATTGGATCGCGTTTTCTTACTTATATTTCTTCTCCCCGCTGTGACCCGTGGGATTTTTGACTTTTTTCGCGCAGCTTTTCAATTCTTGTCTTTCCATTGTCAGCCCCCCATACTGTATTTATCTGTTATTAAGTAGGACATTTTGCAATACCATTTTTCCTTCTCTCTATTTGTTTCGGAGGCTCTAACTTTGGAGTTGTAGAGTGTCAGCGTTTTGTATTTTAGATACAGTCCACGTCCTCTCAGGAACACTAAATATTCATCGGCATACAAAGCTCGAGTCAAATGTGTACCAGGGAGATAAAAGACGGATTCTACGGAGCAAGAGGGAGATTCTGATAGGACCCAGGAAAAGACTACGTAACAATGACAGACTCCGGTCAACATTCGCAGCACAAGGATGAAGGGGTGAGAACTACAGCGTGGAGTATGAAGGGTTTTCTATAATGCCGCTTGGAGGAGCAC